AGTTACAAAACAAACTAAAATTGAAGGACACTTTTAAGTCTTTAAAGAAGACGATGACTATAGATTATAGACAAGTGCAAGTGCTGCCAGTTTAATCTTTGAGGGGTGACATCTAAGACCAACTGTGAGTTTTTTTTAGCATTTATATGGAGAGTTATGTTTTTTTTGTTTCATTAAATTAATTCATCATGGGAGTTGTTCTAAGAATGTTTTTTGTATGTTGCGCTAAATAGAAAAACAAAAGCACAGAAAACAACACTCCAAACAAAGAATATCTGAATCATGACCATCATAAGTCCCACATTTTCCCCATCCTTCTACACCAATTATTTAATCAAAGTAAAGTATCTAAAGGCCTGAAGGAATGAACCTAGCAAAACCTCTAAATACACAAAAGAATGGAGATTATTCTTGTTGTTATAGTAGCAGCCAGCCGCAGATACCAAACATCATAACATATGACATGAGTGATGAAAGAAGAGAGTGACAATACACACATACAATGGCTCTACCAAAACTAAGGCTTTCATTATTCTATTATTTATGAAAGAGTTAAGGAGTAACCCCATGCTTTATTCACATCACCATCCGCAGCAATAGCATCCAGTTTAAAAAGTTGATTCATTAACAACTCGATCAAAGTTATTAGTGTCTTTTCTTCAACTTTACCTCCTCTTGAAATCACAGATTCAAGTGCAGATACCTGCTTGTAATCCCATAATAAATCTGATTAGTTATCACATTTTACTATTTTCCCCTTTTCTCAATTGGAATTGAAATATATACACAAACTACCTGCCCACCAAGCCTATCAACCTCCAAGCTGATCTCTGATACAGTTTTTGCAGCCTTCTCCATCTTAGCAGACTGCCTCATCTCAATATATCTATTTTCTTGGCAGATGCGGTCTTCAATGAGCACAAGGTTGGACTTAGGGAATCAATGTGGTTCTTACCCTCAAAAGTAACCTGTCTGTACCTACAAAGCATCAGAAAGGGTGTATGAAACACTTCTGATAATCAAGGCAAGGGAAAAGAGCATAATTGACCTTCAAAAGCTACCTTGACAGTTTTTGGTATATCAACAGTTCCAGAAGCTGCCTGTATTTCACTTTTCATTCGCATTGGTTTTGACAAAGATGTTACAAATGTTATTGGTATATCAACAACATAATTGACTCTAGTAAAACAAAATATGTTTAATTGCACAAATGACAAAAATTAGTGAACATCAGTAGCAAAAAAGTAAGTCAATGTTGCAACTTACAAGCTACATATCAGTAGCAAAAAGACAATAATACAATTGCACAGAATCTATCACTGGCATTTGTATTTACTCCCAGGATGATCACAATATACTAGCAAAACTAAAGTTTGGAGATATTACAATTCAAAATTAACCCGTTCAGAAGGATATTTAGAAGTCAAAGGTGGGTTGATATGGAGCCAAATCTCCCAATTGCTTTAGGACATAATCCTTTCTAAATGCCATAGGGAGAGCATAAAAGGTGTCAAGCTTGTGAGCATCTTTCAATATGTGCTCACCTGCATCCATCACTTCTTCTTTTGAGAAAGCCTCCAATTTAATGATCTCCTCAAAAATCATCAACTTTCTGTCACTCTCAGCAGCTTCTTTGCTAAAGAAAGAAGAAATACTTTTGAGGCACTCGGTGTTCTCCTGGTAAGAAGATGCAAACTTTCCAATCTCAACAACCAAATTAGTTAAACCGTCATCCCGCACTTTCCTCTTTTTGCTAGTCACAATTCCAGCTTTTTTGCTTGATGCCTTGCTTGTTGCTTGGCTACCAGATGCAACATCTGCACTAGCCCCTGTATTTTCATTTGACCTTCACCATATGCACTTCCAAAATCAGTTTCATCATCTTCTACTTAATCATCTCCAAAACGGAGTGGTGTATAAGAAGTTAAGAATTGTATTAGATTAGTCACTTTATTCACTTTTCCTTTTTCCTGTGTTACCTGTTCTTTTTTTTCAAAGGAAAAAAGTTGGCATCTTTGCCTAGCTTCCTATAGTTCACAATCTTCCCATTGTTTGTAGTGTTTATAAGGTGGGGAAGTGGACTCTGCTTAAGTATCATAATAAATACATTATTATTAATGGGGTCTAGTAAAAAACTTAATAAAAGATAAAACGTTAGAATAAAGGTTGTTAAGTATAGATGTGAATATTAATACATGTATCTTGATGATGGCCTAATATAATAGTGACTATATTGGAACCACTGAACTAAATTAAACACCGAATTTGATATTGTCATAAGTGTAGCCTAAAATCTTTTATTTAGGTTGCTTCAAATTAAACTGATGCACGTGGTATAACTTAGCTGGTCTTTAATGACTATAGCCTAGAGTAATTTGTTTCATTTTCGAACCCAAAACTATCACAGATCAGGTTACCCAAAAATAGGTAGCAGATTGACCAGTTCCGGTCCATTTTCTGGCTCTGAGGAGTACTCGTCTCATTTTATCATCCATAAGCAAGCCGTTGGAAACAGCTATATTGCCATTGAATGTAACCCTAATTCGCACTTAATCGCCTAACATGGATTAAGTTTGTGGTTTGATTGAACAAGGAGGGAGTAGAAGAAAACATACACAAACTTGAAAAATAGAGAAAGACATTACTTGATTTTGAAGATGGAGAGCTGTGCGGGACGTTCCTCAGAAGAAGAGAGCTGCGGTCATGTGTTTCAAGCAGGAAGAGAGCTGCGTATAGTGAAGCGTAGGGTTTTTTTTGGAAGAAAATTATGAAGTAACCGGGAATCTTATAAAACCTAAGCCTGTGGTGGGTTTCACATTACGGGTCATCTGATTACCTTTTGTACTTTTGGGCATCTAACATTCCAAAAAAAAATCAAACCCGCGAACCAAACACAGGTATCTCACATTCCGGACATCAGATTCCGCCCTATATGTGATATTACCTTCAACCAAACACTGCCCAATTGTTTTGCTACCATGAAAACCAAGTGGTTGCCCTACCGCCCCACGTTATGTCACCCTACCTGATCACAAGATGAAACCAAAGTTTTCGCCATTGTCTACTCTCCATAGTCGTCAATGTTCTCTGTTCATAGTCCCATAAGTCATCATCAGCTCACCACTAAATATATGTAACCTTGGCCACCGTCTACTCATCACTATCATATGCCCATACAAAATTGCTTGTGACAAAAATCAAAGATCAATGGAAAAGAAGTAGTTCTAATTAAGTCACTTTCATCTTCTTCTTACTCGTGATGTTCACTGACCCACCATTCTGAGTAGAAGCAAAAGAAATGACAGGGGAAGAAGAAGAATAGATGAGAATAGGGGCGCAAACGTGCTTGAATGACATTGAAAGTGGCCCAAGATGGCTCTGCGGGAGATGACGACGACACTTGGCATTTGCGGTGAGATTAGAGATTAGTCAAACACATTACTGTGGGATTACAGAAACGTTTTAATATTTATACGAGGTTTGTTTTCGGTCTTTTTTATATTTGTTCTATTTTTTGTTGAGACAAGTCCTTTATTTCCATTGCAAATTAATGAGTAATATTTCTGTCGTTTGTTTTTGAGAAATTCGAGGGGTAAAGTACAAAACAATACTAAATTACAAAAATGCAAAAATGAGTATTAGTATGTAATTACTGTCGAAAATTCATTTTTATATTTTGATGAAATAATTACTTAAATATGACCAAAATAAAGATGACTTACAAAAATATGACTAGTTACTAGAGTAGTAATGAAATCATAATAATTCATGTTTAAGCATTAAATTTAAGTTAACACAACACTACGTTGTAGTAATGAATAGTCATATTTATGTAAATAAATTTTATTTTAGTAATAATCTTGTAAAAATCGATACTATTACTCTATTATGAGTCAAATATGACAACATAGTGCCATAATTGATAAAATTTTAGATGCATAACAATAAATACTCGTATTTATAAATAAAAATATAATGATCCTGGAATTTCAAAAATGATCCTCAACTTAATAATTCCATAATCTATCTGGCTTTGTTTGCAACCATTTGTATTTAAATAAGAACACTTTTTGGGAAAAAGTGATTAATAGTAAAAGTTGGTAGTGTTTGGTAAAATAAGTGTTTTTTGTGTAATAAAAAAAGTAAAAAGTAGATTCTATACGAAAACCGAAATAATAAAATTTAATAGTATTTAGTAAAATAAGTGTTTTTTTTTTCAAAAAATAAGCGAAAAACACTTAGACCATTTGGAGTGGTGAGGTATTAGGAGTCCAAAATGTGAAAATGGGATTTTTGGACTCCTAATTTCATACATTGGTGGAGTGTAGAGGGTATTAAAAATGGGTTTGGGGAGGGAAGGGGTTAAATTTGGAGAAGTTTTGGACAGCCAAAAAGTAAATGGAAAAGAAAAGAAAAAGGGGTGGGGGCGTACCTGATGTGCGCAGGCTGGGAGCACACGGCTGGCAGCTGAGTAATTTTCCTCGCTGATGTCATGTTCATGTCAGCATGAGGTCATCATGCACTACCAAATTTATTAAAAAAAAACTTTTTGGTAGATCCAACGGCTGTGATGATTTTGACATTGTTTGAACGAAAAAAATGATCCAACGGCTGAAATTTAAATCCAACGGTTGAAATAATTTATTTTATTTTTCACTTATTTTTAATTAATAATTTTCTCAAAATTTATTTTTTAATGAAATTTATTTATTTTTACATCGAAATGTGTCTTTTTTTATTTTATAATTAATCAGAGAAAAATTTAAAGGAAAAGATTACTTATAATAATTTAATTAATGTTTTACTAAATTGATATGTAAAAATTGTGTTGAATGTATTTTATTGACGGTGCTGGAATGCAGAGAATAGGAATCAAAACACTGTTTTCATATCGACGGAGTCCATTTTTAACATTTAGACTCTTGCATTTATAAACCGAGATTGGAAACAGAGAGACTTTACACAATTACACCTGATGAATTTAACAACGTGTTTATAAACAAGAGAGAACTATGACCTGTCTTCGCGGACAAGAAACACCAATCATTCCAACTACTAAAAATATTCTGGGTATATACATATATACTATAGACGAAGAGTATGTTTTTAAAACCCTGGACGCAGAACAGTGCTCCCATCATCTAGCAGGCCTTTCTCTGTTCAAAACTCTCTACAATATCATCCAGCAAGAATGCACAGCAATCACTTGCTACTCGAAGAACCCATCCGGATGGCCTCCATTTTGGAGCCATCGAAATCTGTAAGTCAGAAGTTTAGCCTCAGATCCGTTTATTTTTCCTCTCGTGATTTCGTTGGCTTTGCATTCCTTGGTAATTTCCTATTTTGAGGATATATGTTGGTTCGTTTGGTCTTTTTTCTTATGATGGCGATTTGGGTTCTGGTTCAGAGTTTCTTCCCTGCGATGACAAAGATCGTGGGAACGTTGGGTCCTAAGTCTAGATCCGTCGAAGTTATCTCTAGCTGCCTTAAAGCGGGAATGTCGGGTAATTTCATCATATGTTTACCCCTCGATTTTGGAGTTTTATTTTGTGAGATTAAACAATGTGCTGTGTTTAAATGTCAGTGGCAAGATTTGATTTTTCATGGAGAGATGCGGATTATCACCGGGAAACACTGGATAATCTGAAGGCCGCTATCAAGAGTACTAAGAAGCTCTGTGCTGTATGTTCATGAATTGTATTTCCACATGTGTTGCTTCCTCTTCTATTTTGTTTCAGCCAAAACTAAAGTTGGCCTTTGTTCAGATTTGATGGCCATATACGAAGTACTCCCTCCGTCCCTAATAACTTTGCCAAGTTTGACCGGCACGAGTAAAGTAAAAATTGTGTGATTGAGGTTTGTGCAGAAGAAAGAGAGGAAAGAGAATTAATTGGAATTATAAATTCTTTACTTGAAAGGGAAAGTCACAAAGTTAGTGGGACATCCAAAAAAGGAAAGTTTTCAAAGTTATAAGGGACGGAGGAGTATATCTTAGGCGTGAACTGGGTGTCCTAGGGGTTATGCTGGTGTTAGTCTGTGACATCAAGTGTTTGTGACATTTTCTTTTGACTTATGTTGTACTCCATAATTTATTTTATGTTTCCTTTTTCACATATGCATTACACAAGCTATCTTGAGTGTACCAATTCACATGCTAACAAATAGAACTAAAGCTTCAGTCTTTGACAATTTCAGGTCATGTTAGATACTGTTGGACCGGAGTTGCAGGTAGTTAACAAAAGTGAGAAGACAATTTCCCTCAAGGAAGATGCCACTGTCATCATGACACCTGACAAAGGTGAAGAAGCATCTTCAGAAGTATTGCCTATAAATTTCACTGGATTAGCTAAGGTTTGGCCCTCACATTTGTCCATTTTTTGTTGTAAACTTATCTTCTCATTTTTTAGTATTGCTGATTGGTGCATTCACACATGTGATATATGCTTCTTCTGGGCTAGACATTTTACTTTGGCAATGCTTTTGTAGGCTGTGAAAAAGGGAGACACCATTTTTCTTGGACAATACCTCTTCACTGGAAGCGAGACTACCTCTGTTTGGCTTGAGGTATTAAGTAATGAGATGAAGTTCCTAGTTTCTGTTTACTTCCTTCCTTTATTTATTTATTTATTCACAGTGAGAATTGAAGCTTGTCACATGGGTTTCTTGAGAATGTCATTCCCCAACTGTGTGTAATTTCTTACACAGGTGGATCAAGTGAAGGGTGAAGATGTTGTTTGTGTGGTAAAGAACTCAGCAACTTTGACTGGATCGTTATTCACTCTACATGTTTCTCAAGTCCATATTGATCTCCCTACTCTTTCTGACAAAGATAAAGAGGTACTAACCATAACCTCTCACAACTGCATATGAACTGTTTTCCTTTTTATATCTTAGAAGGTGCTATGTTATTAATTAAATACATATACATTTTCATGAGGAATTGAGGATGTTTATTTGGTTATTGCTGTACAAAATAAAAAATTGACTATTTTTTCTCAGTATCCTTGCAAAAAATAACATTTATAGATTACTTTTTTGAAACACGTAAAAACTTGTATATACTTTTATTGGTGGAAGTAATTTTGCAGTTGGAATTTTGACTTGTTCACATGTATGTCACTTCTGTTTAAGGCCATAAGCTCATGGGGGGTACAGAACAAAATTGATTTCCTTTCACTATCATATACAAGGCATGCTGAAGATGTTCGTGAGGTATGTTAATGTTTATTTGCTTCCTTAAAAACATTAAGTGCTACTTTCTGTCACTCTAAATGGTCGAGAACTCAATAACAATTGGTGGAATGACACCGTGCTTATGTTCAGGCTCGCAATTTTCTCTCTAAGCTCGGCGATCTTAGTCAGACACAGATCTTTGCAAAAATTGAAAATGTAGAGGTATGTTTATCTGTTTGACTTCAAGCTTATGCATCTTCCATTCTGCCTTTCTTATAATTAGTTTCTTTCATAATCTGTGACAATGTTCGAAGGGTTTGATGGGATCCTGCCCTCTTTCACTATGTCCTTAGGGCTTAACTCATTTTGATGAGATCCTTCAAGAGGCTGATGGCATAATTCTATCTCGTGGAAATCTTGGCATTGATCTTCCTCCTGAGAAGGTTAGTAAGTTAGTAAGAAGGTTGCATCATGAATTTGAAAGAGGTCGGATAGCGAATATGATATTGCAAGGGACAGTAGGTTTCCCTTAAAATATATTACTGTTGGAAAAGACAATTCTCTTCAACTTCTGTTTTTATCTCTTATTTTGAAAGGGATAGAATGCATTATTTCAGTAGTTTCAAACTCATTATTGTATAAACTTTGTTACCCATTTAATCACATCCATATCCCCGTTCATTTAGTCTATTACTTGATTGGACCTATTGTATTTTTATTTGCATTAGGAATCTGAACAGATAAATGGCAAATCAGTGATCTTTTTTCTTTTTTGCACCACTGACGAAAAACATTTAATGATGTAATATCTATATATTGTGGGATTTCCAGGTGTTTTTATTTCAGAAGGCTGCGGTCCATAAATGTAACATGGCTGGAAAACCAGCTGTAGTAACACGCGTTGTTGATAGCATGACTGACAACCTTAGACCTACACGCGCTGAAGCAACTGATGTTGCTAATGCTGTCTTGGATGGTAGGTCTTTCAGCTTCTTGAATAATCTTTGAAATACAGAGTATATTTTTAAAGTTTATGCATTTTTTTAATTGTGCAATTCTGCCATAGCGAGTTTTTTACTTTATATATACCATACTATCATATCATAACATTTTTATTAAAGGTACCGATGCAATTCTGCTTGGTGCTGAAACTTTGCGTGGATTGTACCCCGTTGAATGCATTTCTATTGTAGGAAAAATTTGCTCTGAGGTAAGCATACAGCTGGTTCTCTTTCACCTTCAGAGGAGCAATATGCTTTAGAAGTTTAGAACTAACCTTTGGTGCTATTTCTACATCATAGCTTGGTCTTAGTTCTTAAGAAGTTGGGCATTTTTATTGTTACTTTTAAACATAACTACATAAGCATTATTTGTGGTCAAGATACTTGTCTCGTTGTTGAGATTTTTTTTCAGAGTAAGGCTCCTTTTGACCTAGCTGTGGACAAGTTGCTTTGATAAAACTACTCTGTTAATAGAGCTACTGAATACAAGCAGTCTAGTTTATTCCCTAGTTATTCAGAAGGGCTGTATAATGACAACGGAAAATTTATTTTTCAAATAGGTTTTAACAGTTTTTTTGAGCTTTTCATAAAGAACTTCCAAGTCAAAGCACATATGAAAATGGGAAAACATATAACCTTCAATTCATAAGTAAAAAAGAGTGTTTAGACCTTAAAAAGCAGAGTAAGTACATCCTCACATTATTTTTGCAGGCAGAGAAAGTCTTTAACCAAGATGTGTATTTCAAGAAGACCGTTAAGTTTGCTGGGGAGCCCATGACACACTTGGAATCAATTGCATCCACTGCGGTATTTGTTTCTTACTCTCTCAACTGTTTTTATCTTTTATCCACTCTTAAATTGCATCCATTTTACCTCTTTATAAAACGGGAAAAGGAGAATTTGAATGTGGATACAACTTCATCATCCTTTCAAATAATGAATCATATTTTTATCAAATATCCTGCAGGTACGAGCAGCCATCAAAGTGAAAGCTTCTGTTATCATTTGCTTCACTTCATCTGGAAGGGCTGCAAGGTATTTATCATCAGCAGCATCATAATGTTATTGTTATTGTTTATTATTATTATAATAATAATATTATTATCATTATTATTATTATTATTCGTAGGAGGATGTATGTACTAACTTACTGATCCAATGAATTTTACCGTGTAAGAGTTTTGCTGCTTCTTTGAATGCAGACTAATAGCAAAATATAGGCCAACAATGCCAGTACTATCAGTAGTAATTCCTCGTCTCAAGACAAATCAACTCAAGTGGAGCTTTAGCGGTGCATTTGAGGTATACCCCTTTCTCAAGGTAGCATTATTCTTCTGATGAAAATCCCAGCCTTGGCTACATCAAGACTAATTTATTCCACTCTTGTATCAAGGCTTTAACCCCCCTCCCCCCCCCCCCCCCTCCCACAGTAAGGGTTGGCTCTATGGATTACTAGTTTGTTTGTTTCCCTGCACTGACCCCGCCTAATTTGACTTGTATCCTGTCAAATTGGAGTTGAGTTATTTCACGACAAGGATACTTGGCAAAGGTTATTTGACTGAATGTGCTGAATATTCTGAAAGCAAATGTCTGTGTAGTAACATCCATTTCAGTCAAAAGCTACTTTGCCTGCTGATCAGAAAAATAAAGTAGAGAAGGCCAAACCAAACGGTCCCTTAATTTGTTACTGTATTTGTTTTTGTTTTTATGATTTTCAGGCAAGGCAATCGCTGATTGTACGTGGGCTTTTCCCCATGCTTGCTGATCCTCAACATCCTGTAAGTTATTTGGATTCAGCATTGCATTAATCCATTTCAACATTAACCCCTTATTTGTTTGTGATAAAAACTAAGATAACTATTGAATTTGTAAAGAACAGAATAATCTGATAAAGTGCTTTCTACAGGCTGAGCATACAAATGCCACAAACGAATCTGTGCTTAAAGTTGCACTTGACCACGGGATGGCGGCTGGAGTTGTCAAATCGCATGACCGAGTTGTGGTGTGCCAGAAAGTTGGAGACGCGTCGGTGGTTAAGATTATCGAGCTAGAAGAATAGATGTTCTTCTCACTTCCCTTCCAAAGTTTTGTTGTCTTCTCGCACTAGGCGTATCAATTGCCATTCTTTTACATTTGTTGCGTGGTAAAAACCATATGATAATTTTATTTAAGGGTATTGGAGTAGGCAGATACCCATGTAATTTAAACACTTTGTGAAAAATAATCAGTGCATGTTTGAGCTGAATTTCACGTTTCAAATCCTAAAAGATCTTTTAAAGGAAAAACAAACGGAAAAGCTCTTGATCAAATCGTTGTCTCCTTGGGGGTGGTTGGAAAAAATGAATTATGTGTTGTGAAATGAAGAAGATGAAGACTAAATAAAGAGATAGATATATTGATAAAAACCTCTGAATTACTTCTAAATATCTGAAAGTTTCTGAACTTCTAAGTTGAATTACAAAGGATTGATCAAATCCTATTTATATTAGCTGGGCTTGGTGATGAATCATTAAAGAACAATTCTACATATTTTGTGTGGCATAATTAAACCTAGCCATCTGTCTATTACAAGGACTTGAATTGGATTAGTGTCGTGATGACAAGGATGAACAATTCACACTTGTCATTCTCAGGAATTTACAACACTCCCCTTTGAATGTTCATCCTTAAATAGATATTTGTTATATTAAGATTTATTTATGAAAAATTTAAAGTTTATGGGGTAAAAATTACAACTTATAATGTCGTTGTATTTGGATGTACTGTCTTGTTAAAAACCTTATCAGGAAAAACCCAGTGGGATAAAAACCTGATGAAAGAAAAAAGAGTGCAGTGCATTCAAATACCCCCCCCCCCCCCCGAAATTAACATAAATAATTAAGGCAGCGCATGCCGATTTTCTGTACAAGTTCTATGAACTTCTTCGGGGGTAAAGATTTGGTGAAAAGATCGGCTGGATTTTCACTGGATCTGATTTGTTGAATGTTGATCGTCCCTTCTTTCTCAAGGTTGTGGGCAGAGAAAAATTTTGGGGATATATGCTTCGTTCTATCTCATTTGATGTAGCCTTCTTTAATTTGAGTTATACACGCAGTGTTGTCTTCGTAGATCACAGTAGGGTAAACAATAATAGGCTTTATACCACATTCATTCTGGATGTGTTGAATCATAGATCACAGCCATACACATTCTCTTCCGGTTTCATATAGTGCAATTAACTCCGAATGATTTGATTATGTAGCTGTCAACGTCTGTTTCATAGATATCCATGAGATTGCGGTGTTACCATAAGTAAATACGTACCCGGTTTGTGATTTTGCCTTTTGAGAATTTGATAAGTATCCAATGTTTGCATATCCGATTAAAGAGGCTTTTGCATCTTTGTGGTAGAATAGGCCGAGATCAACTGTACCATGGAGATAACGGAATATGTGCTTGATCCTGTTCCAATGGCGTCTTGTTGGACATGAGCTGTACCTATCTAATAAATTTACAGAAAATGCAATATCTGGTCTAGTATTATTAGCTAAATACATTAAAGCTCCAATAGCATTCAGATATGGGACTTCGGGACCGAGTATTTCTTCGTTGTCTTCTCGAGGACGGAATGGATCATCGTGTATGTTGAGAGATCGAATGATCATTGGTGAAGTCAAATGATGAGTTTTGTCCATATAGAATCTCTTCAACACTTTCCCGGTGTAATTGGATTGGTGGATGAAAATTCCATTCTTCCAATGCTCAATTTGAAGTCCGAGACAAAATTTGGTTCTCCCGAGATCATTCATTTCAAATTCTTTCATAAGATATTTTCCAGTACTTTCAATTTCATCAGTAGTTCCAATAATGTTTAAGTCATCAACATATACTGCAATTATGACGAATCCAGAATTTGATCGTTGAATGAAAACACATGGACTAATAGGATCATTTTATATCCTTCTTTGAGAAGGTATTCACTGAGACGATTGTACCACATTCGTCCAGATTGTTTTAGTCCATACAATGACTTTTGTAATTTAATGGAAAACATTTCTCGAGATTTCGAGCTATAAGTTTCAGGCATTTTGAATCCACCGGGAACTTTCATATAAATGTCTGTATCGAGTGAACCGTATAAATATGCAGTCACTACATCCATTAGACGTATTTGCAGCCTTTCAACAACAGACATGCCAATGAGAAACCTTAATGTAGTTGCATCAACTACTGGAGAATAGGTTTCTTCATAATCGATTCCCGGCATTTGAGAAAAACCTTGGGCAACAAGCCGGACTTTATATCTAACCATTTCATTCTTTTCATTGCGTTTACGCACAAATACCCATTTAAAACCCACAGGTTTTACGCCTTTGGGCGCAGGGACTATCGGTCCAAAAACATCACGTTTTTCAAGTGATTTTAATTCAGCCTGAATAGCTTCATTCCACTTTAGCCAATCATGTCATTTCCGACACTCTTCAATTGAGGTTGGCCCATTGTCATTGTTTTCATTCATAACATTTGTGGCAACGACATAGACAAATATGAAATATCTCATTAATATCAATATCTTTTTGATTCCATTGCATTCCAGTAGAAACGTAATTTATTGAAATTTCATAATTATCAATGTTTCTATCAGTATCTGGAATATCTTCCTCATTTAAGGAAGTTGGATCATCATATGAGATGTTTGTTTTCTCAATATTATTTTCTATGCCAGTATTTTCAAATTGTTCATGTTCTTGTTCAGAAGGATGAACATCTTTGGCATCACAGATCAATTCTTGCCTTTTAGTTTTTCTTGGTTTTATGTCTTTTGGTCCAAGTGGCCTGCCACGCTTTTTGCGTATAGAAGAATTATTTGCAAGAGATTTTTCAGAATTCTCTGTTGGGATTTCAATTCTGGCAGGAGCATTCATTGCAGGAATATGTGACTTTGTCACTTTCTTTGTATCTGTGAATGCATCAGACAACTGATTTGCAACATTTTGTAAAGAGATATTACCCAAAATGGGACTAAAAAAGTTTGGAAATTCCAAAATAGGACTTCCATGTTTTTATTCCCAAAATAGGACTAATTACTATCATGTTTTGGCAGTACCAGACTTCAAACATGACAGTATTTTCCAAATTTGGCAGTAATTAGTCCTATTTTGGGAATAAAAACATGACAGTCCTATTTTGGAATTTTCAAACTTTTTAGTCCCATTTCGGTAACTTTCCCTTTTGTAAATGGATTATCTTTTGCACCTCTTGCTCACATATACTTGATCTAGAATCAAGGTGTGATAATCTTATTGCATTCCATGTTATTTCTTTCGTGCTTGGGTCCGATTTATTAGTTTCTCCCCCTAAGGTTGGGAATATTGTCTCATTGAAATGACAGTCAGCAAACCGTGCGGTAAATAAGTCACCAGTCATTGGTTCAAGATATTTTATTATTGAGGGAGATTTAAATCCAACATAAATTCCCAACCTTCTTTGAGAACCCATTTTTGTACGATGAGGTGGAGGAATCGGAACATAAACAGCACAACCAAATATTTTTATGTGTGCTAAGTTTGGCTCCTGTCCAGTAACTAATTGCATTGGGGAATATTCATGATACGCAGTCGGTCTAAGCCGAATTAAATTTGCTGCATGCAAAATAGCATGTCCCCAAGCTGATGAAGGTAAATTACACTTCATTAATAATTGTCTAGCGATTAATTGTAATCGTTTAATCAAAGATTCAGCAAGACCATTTTGTGTATGGACATGAGCAACAGGGTGCTCCACATCAATCCCAATCGACATACAATAGTCGTTAAATGTTTGAGATGTAAATTCTCGTGCATTATCAAGTCGGATTCTCTTTATAGAATGATCCGGAAAATAAGCTCTTAATCGTATAATTTGAGCAAGGAGTTTAGCAAATGCTAAATTTCTAGTCGATAAAAGACTAACATGTGACCAACGTGTTGAAGCATCAATCAACACTATAAAATATCGAAATGGTCCACATGGTGGGGCTATCGGCCCACAAATATCTCCTTGAATTCTTTCTAAAAATGCAGGCGATTCAGTTGCAATTTTGTTCATAGAAGGCCTGATGATCATTTTGCCAAGAGAACATGCCTTACAAGGAAAATCACTTGATAATGGAACCCTGATATTCTTTAATGGGTGTCCAAGTGAAGTCTTAATGATTTTATGCATCATTACTTGGCCTGGGTGACCTAAACGGTCATGCTACAATATGAATGTTTTCTGATCATCTAATTTTGTGTTAGAAACCAAATTTATTTCGAATGGACTAATGAGTGAAATATAGTCCTGAGGAATATGCTGACATTTTTTCACAAATACATTTAGTGCCAGATTTAGTTGTCGTTAGACAAAGATATTCCTTTTGGTTTTCATTCATGGTTTCTATGTGATAACCATTTTGACGCTTTAAAACTCAATAAATTTCTCTGCGATTTGCTAGAGTATAAAGCGTCATTTATAATTATTTTGGTCTTGTTAGGGAACATCACATATGCTTTCCCAGAGCCTTCAATGAGCTTCGCAACACCTGATATAGTATTGACTTTAGCTTCAACTAAAATCATTTGAGAAAAATATATTTTATTTCTCAAAATGGTGTGCGTTGTGACGCTGTCTATCAGACATATCTCTTTATCATTTGAGTGATCTATATCTTCAATATAAATAAATGAACATAAACTTGACATGTGAATATCACAAATTTAATTTGTATCAATTTCGATTCAGGAGTAGCTACAGATGTGATTAAAAGTATTATTTTACTCGATAAAACATATTGCTTAAAGTATCAATGTTAACGTATTCCAGTTATGGTTTTATTCACATCAATATTAATACCACATAATTCATGAATGATGCATGATACATTTATTATCATCAATCATTCTGATGCATGGCATAAGTATAATACTTCGTATATGACACACCGGCAAAGCTTTACTATCTCTACGGAACTCCTTCAATTTGACTATTGTAGTTTTTATTATTTCAATATTTTAATTGGTGCTATCATTTGTATACAGACACAATTATTTGACCAATTACCTGGTCAAATCTTAAATTTCTAAATTTGAATGTGACACAATTATTATTTACACAGAAAATGAATCATGTTAAAGATGAATAGTAGAGCAAAGAAAAGATGGAAAAACTGAACTGGTAGAGTTCTCATAGTTAGGAGCATGGAACAAGTATAACCGAACTGTTCATTATAATAAAATTTGTCAAATTTCCAATTTTAATACATACTTCGTTACGTATATTGTTTAATATTATTGTAGTTAAAAATCGTATT